TAGTGCGCATCAACTAGGCGAAACTACTATTTGGTTTAACCCTTTTCTTCGCCTTGAATTCGAGGAGATTCTATTTATAGACAATCTGAGCTCCTTGAATAAGAACTTTAACCTTCTTGATTGTTTAAATAGCGTAAGGACTAACAATTCAAAAAATCCCAATTAATTTAAGAGAATATTTTAAAAGTAAATAGTAACTAATAAGTAGTGCGCATCAACTAGACGAAACTAATATTTGGTTTAACCCATTTCTTCGCCTTGAATTCGAGGAGATTATATTTATAGACAATCTGTACTCCTTAAATAAGAACCTTAACCTTTGTGATTGTTTAAATAACGCAAGGACTAACAATTCAATAAATCCTAATTAATTTAAGAGAATATTTCAAAAGTAAATAGTAACTAATAAGTAGTGCGCATCAACTAGACGAAACTAATATTTGGTTTAACCCATTTCTTCGCCTTGAATTCGAGGAGATTATATTTATAGACAATCTGTACTCCTTAAATAAGAACCTTAACCTTTGTGATTGTTTAAATAACGCAAGGACTAACAATTCAATAAATCCTAATTAATTTAAGAGAATATTTTAAAAGTAAATAGTAACCATAACTTTCACTCGAAATGGGAGTAAGCTCAATAATTTGAGAGAATAATTTTATATTAAATACTCGCAAATTACTAGCTGTAGTAGCCTTTGATCCTGTTAATATATATTGAATGCAAGCAGACACAAAAGACAATTTCGGCCTCGCTTGATTCACATCAACTCTCCGACGGGAAATGAGTCACGTTCGTAGGCGAAAATGCTCCGTTCTTGTTGCGTATCCATAGCTATTCACAAACTATCCTCACGAAACAATTTCCGCCTCTTCTTAAATGTCTGTTCAGAAGTCCAAAACATATTTAGGAGCGAATACCTAAAAGGTAGGCAGTAGTTCATAAGTAGTGCGCATCGAATGAACGAAATTACGAATTTCTTTTTATTTCTGCTCAGCTTTAGTCAACTGGAGGGTGTTTTGGGACTGCCAGTGAGCAGCCTTAAATAGGTTTTATACTCACCATAGGTCTCATGACGTCATCTGAGGACTCGAACTAGCAGTTTTCATAATGAAATTACTATTTCTAGCAATTTCATCACATAGCTTACTAAGTCGACTTAACAAGTTGAAGCTCTTTTCTAATATTTACTGAATCATACTCACCACGATTTCGTTCCAGTTGATGACCATCAGTCACTAAAAACGCTCTGAGCCGAGCTCAGGTGGCCGGGTCCCTTGCTCTGGGATAGGTCCCGCAGAGTTCGAGTCTGAGAAAACCAATGCTTGGCCACCAGTTGTGAGGTAACCAGGCGGACGGGACACAAGTGTGTATGTGTGTGTATATGGTAGTTTCATCTTCGAGCTGACATGTTCAGTGAGATGGCTGTCTTGTAGTCTGTCTTACCAGCCTGCTATTTGTTTGCTCCCAAGCTGGGCAACATTGGAGATGAATTTGTTGATCATCGCTGGGCAGCGACTACGAGACAGACTCACAGAAAGACGCATTCGATCGACTCTGGAGCTACTGGAACCAGGGTCCTTCGTCCGAGCCGTGAAGCATTCCGAGAAGTGGCTTCGGTTTAGCTGAGGTTGTTGTGATGTCCTTTGCTGATTGGCTAAAATGCCTTGAACTGAGCAAGACGAAGTGAAGAATACAACTACTGACTCACCGGCCGGGAGGGGGTTCGAACATCAAAGGTTGTGTGGTAGAAAAGGCGTTGCCGTTGCAGAGGGACAATTGGAATTCACTCAAATGACCTTCTCTTCGGCCTCAGAAACACGCCTCATGGCCCTATTGGCCAATCGCCAATGCATACAAAATAATACCATTTTGGGTGGAAATTCAACGACACTTTTAACGGTCATGCATTTGGTAGATGGAGAGGAGTTTGAGAGACTGACTTGAGAAGATGACTTTTTGTTTCAAAGTGCTGTTTCGAGACCACCAGTAAATCACTTTTATGAGATGTTTTCATCCACTTTCGTTTATGATGATGCGGGTGTGCTAGTTGGATTTTCCCACTATCACATGTGGGAAGTGAGAATGTGGCGTAGTGGTTAACGTTTCGAGATTGCCCGCTGCACTGTCATGGTGAGACGAGGTAGAAATGGCAGTCCATTCGAGTCTGGATGAGAACAACTTTTAGGAGATTCAATGAAAACGTCCGCTCCACTCATCTCATTGTGGGAAACTTGAAGTACCAGTCCCCTCATCACTCCATACGAAATAGGATGAATATATGCCATGGAGAAGAAAACTTTTTGCCTGTACCGACTTCTCTTGAAAAGAGGATAAAATGAAAAAAAGCGGCCAAGGTTGATGTCTCCTGTTCGGAAAGAATCGCCCTCGACTTCGCTCAAGTCTCATCCGTCTTCCAGCGGGACTCGAATCCACAGTCTCTAGTCTTGTTGTTCAGTTCAGCCTAGACAATTGGTCTGCCGCTGCAGCTGATGCTCATGTGGCCGAAGTCTCGGAAGATCCATCCGGATGGAGTTACAGTACCCTTTCCCGAGTTCGTGCAATGTCAACGCGTCAACAAACCTGACCA